CAACTACGAAAACAAACCCGCGCATAGCAGTTACGCAAATCAGAATCAACAATGTCCAAGAAGATCATCACAGTTTTCGGAGCGACTGGTGCCCAGGGTGGCAGCGTCGTCAACATCTTCCTCAACGATCCTAAGCTCAAGGCAGAGTGGGCAGTCCGCGGTGTCACCCGTGACACCACCAAGGACTCTTCCAAGGCTTTGGTGTCCAAGGGCGTCGAGGTTGTCAGTGTAAGTTGTTTCGACTATTGTTACCTCACCCAACGGTATACGAGGCAAAAAGCTAACCCTCTTCCACTCAGGCCGATCTTGGAGACAAGGCGTCGTTGGCAGCTGCTGTCAAGGGTGCCACTGCCGTCTTCGCGGTGACCAACTACTGGGATAAGCTGGACAAGGGTGGGTTTATCAAATCGGCTTGCGAGACAACACTTTCTAACAAGAAGGCAGACTTGGAAATCCAGCAGGGCAAGAATATTGCGGACACTGCGCAGGAGGCTGGCGTCCAGCACTTCATCTTCAGCTCTCTGCTCGACATCAACAAGCGTAAGTTTGTTAGCTTCCACATTATGGCATAACGCAACTCACTAACAAAACCTTCACAGTCTCCAAGGGCGTCCTTCCAGACGTGTACCACTTTGATAGCAAGGCCGCTGTTGAGGAATACATCCGGACCCTCTCCCTCCCCTCGACCTTCTTCCTCCCCGGCCTCTACATGTCCAACTTCCCCGGCGGCATGTTCCGCCAGACGCCTCCGGACAACGCGTGGGCCGTGAACCTGCCCATCCCGGCGTCCGCGCCGATCCCGCTCTTCGACACGGTGGCCGACACCGGAAAGTTCGTCAAGGGCATCGTGCTGAACCGCGACAAGGTCCTCGGCAAGCGCGTGCTCGGTGCGACGGCGTACGTCACCGCCGGCGAGATGGTCCAGGTGTTCAAGAAGGTGTACCCCGAGGCCGGCAAGACGGCCAAGTACAACCAGCTCACGCACGACCAGTTCCGCGGGGCGCTCAAGGGCCAGGGCATGCCCGACTTCGTGGCGGAGGAGATGCTGCAGAACATGAGGCTGTTGGATGAGTTTGGATACTACGGCGGCGAGAAGCTGGACGAGTCGCACGCCATTGTCGAGGACAAGCTGACCACGTGGGAAGAGCATGTGAAGAACGCCAAGGCTTTTGCCGGGCTGCAGTGAGCGTGGAGGTGGGAGAGAAGAAACGTGATAGGACGATAGAAATTGAAGTTTGTGATTTTGAACCCTTGATGACTCAGATGGTCTAGACACTTTAAATCGTGACAAGCGTGCTGTGTTGTGCTTCGTTGCAAAGAGGGTCGGTTTGCTGGGGACGCACGACACGCTTTTGCAGCGTCATTGGTGGCTGCGTGTAGCTGATGCGGATCTGGGGATCTCGCTGCAAGTCACCGAGCAGAGGACCACAATTTTCTGTGTCTGCACGGCTATGTTTCCGATGCAGTCAATACCCGTGAATTTGAAGCTTTAGCTCGATCAAGAACGATCACAAATCATAGTGATTAGAGACGACGACAACGGTAGTCGAAGCGACGAGAGTGACATCAAGCGAGACGATTAGAGACGACGGCAGCGGACGACGGCGGCGGGAACGACGATAGCGAGGAAAAGCAGTTGGGTACTCTAGCACAAAAACTTGGTGGTCTCGCGAATAGCCTTCGGTGCAAATAAAGACGACATAAGTCCGAAACCGCCAGAACGGTTTGAGACCCTGAATGACAATGTTTGCGATCTGATGAAAGATGCCGAGGCCTGGTTCTTGGGGCGGCGCAGCAGCGGCAACGAAGCAGCGTAAGCCAGGCCGCCGGCCGCCGGCCGACATACCGAGGCAAATGGCACCTGAACCCCCGACCCCATGTTTTTTTACCTTTTAGTACCCTCGCCCTTCGCATTTCCTCTCCACATTTTTCAGTGTAAACGCCAAGCACAGGCTCCGGGTCACTTGCCGCCAGCATTTGCGACTGGCAACTGCACGCACGGCTGCGTCCCCGACCCCGTCCGCCGACTGACCCCCATTACTCAGGTCTGCTGCACTATCAGCCCAATCCGCGTCCGTCATCCCAGCGACGCTCTTCCTCTCCTCTACCCCGACTTTGCCTTCCCCTCTCCTCCGCTCCTACCATCGCCAACGTCGTCGGATCGTCTTTCGACATCGCAGCTGATCGAGGTCGATTGCCATCTTCCATCCGACCTGGCTGCGAAAAGCCATCCTCCGTCGCATTTCCGGTGCTCGATATAGAGGAAAACAAAGCAGCAGACGGCAACGTCGCCACCAGCCAACCCCGACCGGTAGATTGCGAGATAACGCCGAGCGACACCAACGACTGTAAGGAAAACTTCTTCCTTATCGTGAAACAAGAAAATGGCATCACCACCAAAGCCTTGGGAACGGGCCGGCGCAACTACCGCTGCGTCAAGTGCGTCTACCAGCACCAACATTGCCAATCCAGCCTCTAGATCGAGATTATTAACGGTTTCATCAATAGCTCCTACCGCCGCTTCCATCGCGACCCCGACACCGGCGGCCTCGATCGCCTCGACGACCTCACCATCGTCGGCGCCCACTGTCCCTGAACGGCCAGCTTCCCTCGCCTCCGCGGTCAACCAGAACGCCTCGGCATACAGCCGGACCGGACTCGGAGCCGGTATTGGTGCAGCAAGCCCTTACGGCGGCGGATACTCTTCGCCTTACGGCAGCCCGTACTCAAGGATGGGTTCCTACGGCGGCTACGGTGGCGGCATGTACGGAGGTTATGGCGGATATGGTGGCGGCATGTACGGAGGAGGCATGTACGGCGGCATGGGGGGAATGGGCATGGGAGGCATGCCCGGAAACCCCAACGATCCGAACAGCTTGACGAACCGATTCAACAACAGCACTCAGGCTACGTTCCAGATGTTGGAGGGCATTGTCGGCGCCTTTGGCGGTTTTGCTCAGATGTTGGAGAGCACGTATATGGCTACACACTCCAGCTTTTTCGGTAAGTTTCAGCATCGGATCGTTTACAGCACACGTCACTGACAAGAAAACAGCCATGGTTTCAGTAGCGGAACAGTTTAGTAACCTCAGAGATACCCTGGGCTCGATTCTGGGCATCTTCACTCTGATGCGCTGGATCCGTACCCTCATCGCCAAGATTACCGGCCGTCCACCCCCAGCCGATGCGACGGCTCTCACACCGGCTGCCTTTGCTAAGTTTGAAGGCCGATCGCCCATCGGCCCCGATGGCGCTCCCCTAGGACCTCCCAAGGCTTCTCGCAAGCCCCTCTTCTTCTTCATTCTTGCTGCGTTCGGCCTCCCGTACCTGATGCGCAAGATGATCAACACCATGGCCCAATCTGCGGAGGAAGAAGAACGCCGTCGCATGGCGCTTGCCGGCGAGCAACAAGCCTTGGACCCCTCCAAGCTTGACTACTGCCGCGTAATGTACGATTTCACGCCCCAAGCCGGCAACGCCGTCAAGGATGTGGACATGGAGGTGCGTAAGGGCGAACTTATCGCCGTTCTGTCCAAGAGCGACCCCATGGGCAACCCCAGTGAGTGGTGGAGATGCCGCGCTCGCGATGGCCGCATGGGCTACCTTCCTTCGACCTACCTCGAGGTTATTAAGCGACCCGGACAGCCTTTGGCCGCGATCAAGGCTGCCCCCGTGCCAGAGAAGGCCCCGGAAATCAAGACCAAGATTGGTGACGTGTCGCCCGAGAGCTTCCAGAAGAGCGTGTTCTATAACTAGGCGCCAGAGAGCTGCTCATCTGAGTAGGCGCCAGACAGTTCCTCATCTGATTTCGCGCCGGAGTGCTGCGAGTGCTGCTCATCTGAGCATGTGCCAGAGAGCCTCTCACCGGGCTTTCGCAAGTTCCTCCGCAAAGCCCGTCTATAAAACCATCCATTTTCTTTGTAAAGAGTGTACGATTCTGGCATTCAGTTTAGGGGCCGTTGTTTGTCCTTGAGGACTTTAAAAGCTGGGCGTTCAGGTTGACGATTGGATCCCGTGGCATTGGGAGCGGTTTGCTGCTGGTTGGCTACTTTGGTCTCAGTATGCTATGAATACCCAAGGTAATGCCTACGAAGCAGTCTTTGTCTATAGCGAAGAGAATGCATACAATATGTTTGCACAAGTTGATCATGAAAACATAGACCATGATGAGGCACACGCTCCGCGTGGATGAAGAACAGACATGGCCAGACCAGCGCCAACGCGGCTCCACAGGATGTGGCTTGGTGCCCAAACCTGATTCGTGTGTCCTATCCCATTCCTCGTGCCATGTCGACATTGACGTCAGATTGGATGACTGGAGTCAATTCGGGTGTCCTCCTACGGACGGCGGCACAACATAGCCTGGCAAGGCCCGGATCCATCTGGCGGCAGCTGCCGCAACACCCGCATCAGGCAGACTGCACTCTTAGCTTTCCCTCAGCTTCCGTCCAGTCGACGCACGAGCCACCGATGACGTTGTTGACTTACGTCTTTTTTGCTGTACCCGGTAGCTTCCTCCCAGCTGCAGTAGGTCCCTCACACAGGAGCACCGCGCAGCCAGAGGGAGGGGACCCGCCCAGGTTCAGTTGCTCAGCTCTCCCCGTAACGTTTACGTAGGTATTCGTCCGCACGAAGATAGGCAGACAGGCACGTAGGTAGGGAAAGTAGACAGGTACCTTACCTGCTGGCAGACACAGGCACGCTTTGTGGTCCTGCCACCTCTACCTTACGGATCCAGTCCCACCATCGTCACCTTTCACGCACATTGTACAAAAGGCCAGCTCCTCCCAAGTCCGCCTGCCGCTTCCCTCGCAACAAATCACAGCACTCCGAATCTCCAATACCCACGCAACTTTTTCGTCAGCTCAACACACAAAAACACCGTCGGTCAAGTCAGTTTGGGCTTCCGAGTGTTTCTTTCCCACAACCACCAATTCCTACTTCGACCGGAAGCACACGACCAACCTTTCACAAGCTGAAGCTTTCCCCGCATCGTCAAGATGACTCTCTACTACACTCTCGTACGTCTTGACCGTGCATAACACTGGCGTCGTGCCTCTCCTGCAATCGGGGAGGGGCAATTGAGGAGAGCCGCCGCTGACTGGATCTAGGTGTTTATGCTGCTCATGGCAGAGATGGGCCTGTTCATGCTCCTGATCGTGCCCCTTCCCTTCGCCATCAAGCGTAGACTCTTTACGTACGTGATTTCCCTCCGCTTTCTCTGCATGCTGCGTTCCCAAAGAGCTCGAAGCTAACCGTCCGGTCTTTCCGCAGCTTCATCTCCGAGAGCCCCGTCGTCGCCAAGGTCCAGTACTGGATGAAGATCACGTTTGTCTTCATCCTCATTCTCTTTATCGACAGCGTCAACCGCGTCTACCGCGTCCAGGTCGAGCTGGCGCTTGCTACCGAGAAGCAGAACAGCGGGTGCGTACATCATTGCCCCCCTCCCACAATCTGTCCCCTGGAATACCCACCTTCAAAGCGGTGCCCCTCAGGACAATCGACTCACTAACAATTTCTCCAAACAGAGCCGCCGTCATGGGCCACGAGCGCCTCGAGGTGCAAGCCCGCAAGTTCTACTCCCAGCGTAACATGTACCTCTGCGGTTTCACCCTCTTCCTGTCCTTGATTCTCAACCGCACCTACGTCATGATCCTCGAGGTCATGCGTCTTGAGGACAAGGTCCGCAGCTACGAGGGCACCCAGGGCAACACCAAGCAGAGCGAGAAGCTCGCCGTTGCCGGTGACGCTGGCGAGATTGCCAAGCTCAAGAAGGAGCTCGAGAGGAAGGACCGCGACATCGAGACCCTGAAGAAGCAGAGCGCCGGCCTGCACAAGAGCTACGACGAGCTCTCCGAGCAGTACGGTCAGACGCAGCCCAAGGGCGACAAGAAGGCACAGTAAAAGGCCTTGATGTAAATCGACTTGACGACTTTTTTCTAAGTGGAAGACGACTGCGGAATAAAATCTGATACGCGGTGGTGATGAGGTGAGGGATGGCCGGGAGCTGGACAGCTCTGAGGATCCAACAAGTTAAAGGTTGGGAGGGTTCGCCGGCACGGCGAGGCGTTTTAGCTATATATCAGCTTTGAGTTTCGACGCAATTGGATCCAGTCCAAGATGAAATGTTCTCGTCCATTATGTCAGTGCCATGATATGATTACTTGAACGAAATGCGTAGTTGACGCCTGACCAGGGCCGTCACTGTCTCGGCAGTATGAGTACCCAGGCAACCTTGACGTCGGCAACCTATATATCAGGTCAAATTACTGATGTCACAGAGAAGACGGTGGTCGCCTTTGTGGTCGTTGTAAAACGGGCTCATCTTGTTCAAGTCGATGATATTCTCGCACTTAGGGCAAACTGCGACTGGCGTTATGCGGCTGGGAACATTCTATCACGAAGGCACACTTGCGGGCATGACCCTCCCATCGCGGGTTCCATACCGTCTTCACAGCAAGTAGTGTAAAACTACTTCCACTTTCCGAATGCTCATGCTGTTATGAGGTTCTCTGGTCGCCCTCGAGAGTTATCCCGACCACGATCGACGCAATTTCGATCTTGACTGTTCTTGGCCCTGACTTGCCGCAAATTTTCAAGCGAGTGCCCGAAAGACGAAGACGACGAAGACGACAACGCTATGGACGAATACGGACGACATGGACCAGCGGAGACCACAAACGACGACGAGCGGAAAGGAAGATCCATTCGCCTTGACACAACAGAGGTGATCAACATAATCATCCGGTTGAACAGCAGGATTTGATGTTCACATGCAGTTGTATTGTTCGACCCAGTTGATGCCGAGAACCTGCGAACATCCTTCACAGCCGTAAGTCCGGTCAGTACGGGGTAAGAGATCTGCCATACCAATCCATTTGGAATTCTCGTCGAACTTGTCGGCCGTGTGCTAGATGCCATCCGGCCTTCATTCCGTTACTAGATCTTCACATACGTTAAAAGCAGACCCCCTGGGTCGGGATTTCTTATTGTATTAAACGAGTTCCCGGTCCTTCAAGCATGTGGTTCCAAGGCTAGAATGTTCTCGGAGACCATAATAATTGCGGCAAGCCTGATCTTTGCACCAAGTTATCTCTTTGAATTCAGTGTCGTCTTTCAGGTTGTAGGACGCAGGATCCAACGCAAGGTACCACTGGGGACTAGACGGACTCAACTGGCCCGAGTCCTCCGAAGCGCCGAACGTGCGATCAAGGGTGAATTCCCAGCAGTGTTTATGGGATCCGCAGTTCCGGAAACTAGCTTGAAAGTAGGCAGTTTCGTCCGTTGTCCATCGGTAGAACTTGTGACTATCTAGCCTGCCGTTAGCATTGGTACCCATATCATATCTAGACAACTTACGGGGGCGCTCCGCATCACTCTTGGTCGCCACTCGGTCATGGACTGGAATCCCGTATCTCTCGATACCTTCGTAATGGAGACAGTGACAAGAATTGGGCTCAAAACATAGCATAGGATCTAACCGTCGGGGGCCTTCTTCAGGGTACCATGAACAAGGTGATAGTTCTCGCAGCTCAGCAATCCGGCGTCGAAATTCGACAGCAGTGACCGGGCATTTTCTATTGGGGAAACGCAATGTCTTCTTCTCTTCAGAAGAGCCACTTGACTAGCCCAGGGAGCGTTGCCCTTCGTGTGTTGAAATTCCGCCTTCACCTCTTCAAACCGTTCTTTGTGACTAGCATGATCGCAAGTGATGGTGGAAACACTCTTTCTTATCGAGGCCGGAAGTGACGTATTCGAAGATACTCTCACGAAATCGTCCCATGTGAAGGTCTTGTGTTCGCACAAGCGTATGTGCCCTTCTCGACCGATACAGACTCTCGAACGTGACCTCTTCTGGCGCTCCGCAACGGAGAAGACACTTGTCGGATGGAGTCGGTCACAGCCAGAACAGTACAGGAAAGCTCTGGCGCGATCAGACGACCAACGTCTAGGCAAGCGGTTGGTTTTGCAGCCTCTGCAAAATCCTCTTGTCTTTGGTGCCGCGAAAGAAAGGGCTTTCACCCAGCCCTTGGCTTGGAAAGGCGATTTCCATTAAAAGCCGTACCCGTCGCCGTTCTTATGCCATTTGGAGAAGAGCCTCGAAGAGAAGATCCTCATGAATGTTCGCGAGGCGCGGCGGAGTTGGCAGGCGGTGGTCAGATCAGTTTGCTGCATGATATTGACCAAGATGTGGTCAGGGAGCCCGCAAAGCGGGCTCTTCGTTGCGTTGCGATATATCGCAGCTATCAAGGGGTCAATGTTGACGCCCTCGGGCCAGTCCAAATCTTTGTTGTCCTCGTTCGAGGCGAGCTTGTAGCTTGTCGATTGGGATCGCAGAGGGTACGTCTGGTTTGTGTACGGCTCTTGGCCATACTCCATCTCGTAGGCGATGTATGACGACGGACTGCTCACCACGTGCTGGCCGAATCCAGGGTGCATGTAGCGTTCGGTATACTCGTTGAAGCAAGGTTCGATCCCGGAGGCGGTGAATGAGCCGGGTTCAGTCAAAAGGAAGCTTTCGAAATACTCCTTGGAGGAAGGGGGGTATCCTGTTGGCCACATCATTAATGATCGAAAGGTGCGTTAAGGTTGTTGGCCTTGATCTTCGTATCCTGTTTGTGTTGTGTATTCTGTTCCGAAAAGAAGTTCTTCGCGGTAGAGTTTGTATATCACAGGAACTTTAAAGGCTCACCCTGATAGCCACACCTTGGCAGTTGGCTGTACCTGGGTCTTCCACGCCACATTGGAGGCTTGCTTGTATTTAGCGCAGATATGGACAGAGATGGAGGGCGGTCACAACCAGGATCACAAAAGTCGACTCCACGATGGGAACGGATCATGTCGGCATGCAGAACCCGACTATTCAGTGAGATCTCCGTTCCAGAAATCATCTCTTGGACGTTGGTTAGGAGACGCTCACATCATAGAAGTGTAAGGATAACTGCTATAAACTGTGCGCGTGAGTGTCCGTCTACTGCCTGAAAATCAAGAACGGCTGAGACATATAAACCCACCCATCTAGAACGTAAGTGAAAACTCAGAACCGAAGAAATCATGCGTCTTAATGTGCTTCGTCTTCAGCAACTCAGATCAAAGCTACCAGAAGGTCGAAGTCATCATGAGGACAATAGCAGCCGCATGGTTTATTGAACATGAGGGGCCTTTTCCATCGTTAATGTGCCTGAGGAATACTTCGAGGGAACTAGAGGAGCAGGAAACTAGTATGCTAGGCAATATACTTAGATGACTTTAGCAAACTGCCAGTCGATACATGTTATAGTAGAATGACTCGTCCGAAGAGATGATTGTTGCCATCAAAGAGAGAGAAAACGAGAAGGCTATGTGGCTTTAGATAAACATCTCTTGAAAATTGGAAATAATCACTAGGCTTTGAGCCAAGATACAATAGGCGTGTAAGGAACAACAACAATTAAAACAATCGAGTAGGAAATGCACCTGTAGAAAGACGCAGCAAATCCTTCGAGCAAGAGCGAGTATCTGATCCCTTCTATATCAGAATTCTGTGTGAAATTCCACCGTCACACCTCGGAAACAGCAGTCAAAGATATAATCGTCAAGTCATTATTGCTTAGCCCTCTTTCGCGCGTATTCAGTCAGTTTACTTAGCTAGCACCGGCACTGAAGAGCGATGAAGCATATTGGGAAGTTGCGATTGAGCAACGGTGGTTGGGCAAGTGAAATTGGTCATTATCACTTGTGCCTCACGTAGCCACTGTTATGTAGAAGTGATCCAGAGTCCAAAGACATTGATGACTGAATTCGATAGCTGCCGTGTAATCCTTAAATATAGAGGCCTGGGGACGATTTGACACAGCGAGATGTGTTGCATCTCTATTAAGCCCTAGTGTTTGACGGGCATATAAATATAAGTCTAAAGGGGTCATGTATCGCAACCAAATGTTACCTAGCCACTGCTCAACTGGATTCCGGTGAACAATGTCTGAGGCATGGATCCTTCAGCCTTGGTTGTGGTCAAGATTCATCGCCAGGGCCAAACTTCTGCAGTTTTACCATGAAGAAAGGGACAGGAAAACGGTCAATCGTCCCCAAAAAATGCCAGTATTGATACCAATACATAAGCACAAGGCCGTGTGAGACACTAAAAAATCCTATGAGGGTGACACGCAGAACAATGTCAGCAGCCAGAAGCTGGGTACGTAAGAAGGCGCAGAGGTGACGCGACTGCCTTCAAGTCTCAGTCCTTAACTGCAGGCTTGGGACTGATTCGTCGAAAGGTTTCCCAATGTGCCGACGGAAATAGCAAATAAATCGATCCCGAATTCACTGAGTGGCTAACGGTCATTGTTGATAGACGCCGACGAAGAATGGGAGACTCAGGAGTTTCAGCCTGGTGGGCTGCGTGACGTGGAAAACTTCATGATTGACCACCCTAGGTGGCGATGGTTCTCAATCTCTATATCAGGATCACTCACATATGACCGATTAATTTCTTTAAGCCAAAGGCAGCCAATTAGTACTTAATTTGCGGCTGCTTGGAGGTTCATTAAATCGCCAAAGGTCCTGGCATCCCTCTCCAACTCCCCCAAGCTAAAAGTGCTCGGAAACGTGGATAACATCTCCTGTACGAATACTACAATGAATAATTTAAGACTCACTCTGGATACTAGAAACACTAGACGGTGTCGGCTGCAAGGTTCAAATGAGCTTCGTCCGGAGGAAGGTCAAATGTTTCGTAAGCTGTTGAACGCAGGTTGAGCGCACGACGAGAACTACACCCCCTACACCGACTCGAATTGCGGTGGGCTGTTCGTAAGATCTTTCCTTCAGGGCCTTTAGATACGTCTGGAAGCAGCAATTTGCCATGTTATGCCCAAGATGGATAGAACCTGCGTTATTCGATGTTTGACCAGAAGTTCGTGACCCGACCGGAACCCTTCCACTGCTCAGCGAATGACTGAATAAGACTGACTAGGACAACAAGGCCGACAACAACGATAGGAACATTAAGGACGTCATGGATGTGATCGACAGGGGCGAGGGACGAAAAGTAGGGTCGCTACTAAGTCAAAAAGAACACCTCATTTTAACGCCGCATTTGTGATCGTGAAATGACTTTTGATTTTGTCTAGCCCATTTTAATTCTGGGGTACATCAACTTCTGCTTTTGTGATGTTCCCCAATCTGGCAATGCCCTCGAACATGCGTCGTCTTCGTTAAAAAAAAAGCCAAAGGTAGCAAGGTCTCTCTTTTCCATTTGTGCCTATCCCCGTGTCTACATCATCTTCTCATGGCATCACCACCTTAACCCTCGGCCTCGTAGGCGTGGGACTTGTGCTTGGGCTGGAAGGTGAAGTTGGGGTGAGCAGGTCCAAGGAACATTTCACTGTTACGGTCGTTAGCAGATATAAACATAGACCTCTCTTGGGACAACATACCTGATCTTGATCCAGTCGCGGTAATTCTTGCTGGCAAGAAGAGTCTCCAGATCGTTGCGTCCGTGGTACGCAGGCGGGCGGTCGTTGAGATCGGGAGGGAGGTGCTCCAGCAGACCGAGAGGAACGTAGCGGTGCGCGAAGGAGAGCCACTCGAGCAGGAAGCGGCGGGTGAATCCTATGCCCAGCTCATCCGTGCCCCAGGCCTCCATGCCGAATCTACAAAACTTCTCGACGTAGGCGAGACGCTCCGTGGCCGACTTGTCGAGGTACTGGCCCTTCTCGATCTCCTCAAACAGCCACGGCTTGACGAGGGCGCCGCGACCGATCATGATAGTATCGACCTTGGCCTTCTCGATGTGCTCATAGTACTCAATGTGGGAGTAGCAGTCACCGTTACCGAGGAAGAACATGCGGCCGTCCTTGGAGTTGGGAAGGGTGGATTCGTCAGGCTCCCGAGCCGTGTCGGTGAGCTTGTCCTTCTGCTCGTTATAATCCTTGATCATCACAGCACACTCGGCGATGTAGCTCCAATCGGCCTTTTTGGTGTAGCGCTGCTCGCGACTGCGGCCGTGGAGGGTGATAGCGGCGCAGCCGGGAGCACCTGCGCGTTCGCGGTTCTCGCGGGAGCCAAAGGCGAGCTTGCCGATGATGGAAGAGGCCGTCGGGCGGTTGGATTTGACGCCGGTGCGGAGCTTGACCGTGATGGGGATCTCTCCAGAGACCGTGTTCATGCCGCGGACCATGCGCTCGAGCTTGCCGTGGGACTCCAGAAGAGCAGAACCACCACCAGACTTGTAGATCATGTCAATAGGGCAGCCGCAGTTCAGATCAATGAGGCGCAGGTGAGGGACAAATCTGCTGAGGAGGTCGGCAGACTTGACGCAATGCCAGGCCTGGTTACCAGAGATCTGGGCACCGAACTTGAGATCGCGGGAGTTGTCGTAGCCCTTCACAATGCTGGAGCTCTCGGGGTTGACCTTGGGCGGGCTGATCTCGCTTTCGTGAGCCTTCATGAGGGCCCAGTCGTTCTTTACTCCTTGGACAAGGGGCATGCCCAGAGCCATCTCGGAGTAGGTCAGTTGAGCACCAAGATCGACACAGAGTCGACGGAAAGGAAGGTTGCCCTGGGTAGTCAGGGGAGCGAGTGCGGGTGTCTCCTTGCCGAAGTAAAGCCTGCGTTTCTCAGACGGCTTCAGGGGCGGCTCGACGTACTGCGCACGCAGGTCGTCATTGTTGCCAATCCTCTGATCCTTGCGGCGCTGGTGGAACTCATCGCCCAACCTCGTGTCCTTGTTCATCCAAGTGATGTACTTGTCCGTCTCGGTGAAGTCAATCCGCTTGCGGCTGAGGTCAATCTTGAGCTGGTTCTCGGTGTTGTTATAAACACCTGGCCTGAGATCTTCACGTCCAGCCTCAACGGGAGCATCGCCAGTAGTCTTCTTGGGTTCCTCCACCAGAACAAGTTCCTTGCGGCCGTCTTCGTGCTCGACTTCCTTCATGTGGCTCTTGACGAAACGGCACTTCCAGCCGGAAGGGCAGATGCCCCATTCCTCGAAGACAGGGCAATTGCCTTCGAAGGTGTCGAGATCCTCGCGGCGACCCTCCCCAAGGTACTTGCGCAGGTCGTGGACGAGGTTGCATCTGTCACCGAATCTGCACTCGCGCGGAGAGAACTCAGAGGTGTAGGCACGGCTGTTGCAGAGACGGAGGGCATCGTCAAAGTGGCCGAAACTACGCTCCTTGTTCTGACCCTTCTCACGCTTCTCGCGCTTCTTCTTCTTGTCGCGGTTGTCGCGAGCGTCTCCCTTCTGCTCGTTACCCTCACCACGGCCCTCAGCGGCGTCGTCATCATCAACGACCTCATCCTGATCTCTTGACTGGTTCTCCTTGTGGATCAGAAACCTGTCTTCGGGTTAATGGTACTCAGGACTCCGTTGATGGTAAAACTCACTCAGCCTTAATGGGAGCAGTGCCACGTGACCTGTCCCTGTCGTCGGTCTTCTTGTCGTCCGTCTTGCCGTCCGTCTTCTTCTCGGCAGGCGCATCGGTCATAGCGACATCACCATTGCTCACCTCCGCCGCCTTCTCACCGTTCTCCTTTGCGGCAATTGGCTCCACACGCTTCGTAGCCTCATCGACAGCGACACGCTCCTCACTCGGGGCCTGCGCCTCAGTCACGACGGCGGCAGATGCATCCTGGGTCCCGCCGACCTGCGCCGAGGAGTCGTCCACCTTAAGACGCTTCGAAGCGCGCTGGTCGGACTCGTCGTGGCTCTCCATTTTTGTGCTGCTTGAACCCTCCGCCGATTGACCTGTTGTAAGTTTTTTTGGTGATGGGTAAAAGTCGGAACGACGGCGGGACCAGTGGTATTTGGAGGCGAGGTCAGAAAAGGGAAGGTATCAAGCGGGTCGCGCAAAAAAAAGAGGTTGATGTCACTGGCCCGGTACCTAAGCTGCGGGCGGAAGGTGGGGCTGCCTACGTGCGGCTTGGAGGGGCACCTGCCTGCCGCGGGAAGAAGCTAGACGACAAAGACGACGACGACAGAAGCACAGGAGCCACGGCCCAGATACCACAGCCAAAAGGGGTACTCCCCCCAAAGATACCTTCCTGCCTAGGTCGAACATTGAAATAGGCATCTACGTAAAGTCTCAGCAGTTGCCTCACTTCCATCCCGCGTGTCTTATCACCAATCCCATAGATATCTAGACTGTTTCTTGACAATGGAGGTTCGTGTCACTCAGGATGCCCCTAGAGCCACTGTAGAGTTTATGCCGACGATTCACAAATTAGCCAAAATCTCACACAGGCGTGACGAGCGTGAATAGATGGAGGTGAAAGTCAGTCCCATATCCCTAACTATTTAATGATGATAGCCAGCTGGTCGATGCCCCTCATCGACCAAAATCCACAAAATGACCTGATTGTACACAGTATCGCTAGCTCGTGACTGTCCAAGACAACCTTGGTTGAGGTTGTCGCTTTGCAGACTTTGATCACAGCGGGCGCTACCTGCCCCCTTTTGTCTTATCGAAGAAATCCGTCCCGTCTCCAGCTGCCTCCCAATCTTGTCCAAGCCATGATGGGGCCTGAACCGACGAACGGCGCCTACAAGAGGTTGACCCTGCCAGGTATCCCAACCTGGCCATCCCTCGACTCGGCTTTTACGCCTCGGTAGGCGTCATTCGTCTCTCCGGACTCGGGTTGGCGTCTATTTCCTTCGGGGAGTTCCACCTGCCGAGGATGTTCGAGATGTCGCCGGAGCGGCACATGCCGCCGTAATATTTCTGGTTTGAGTCTTTGCCCGGTTGCCCGTTACTTTTGATTCAACATGATCCAACTTATGATGGAATAAACGCTGTCCTTCTCCCCTTCACGCTAGCTCATCAAACGCTTCGCGGCTCGACGTGCGCAGGCTGTAGAATAGTCAGCTTCTGTTGTACCAACTTGGATATTTCTCCAACATACCGGACTGTTGAGCATGCTCTGTCTCTTGTTCCTGCCCTTCTTGATGTGGCTCTTCAGCGCGCTGGAGTCAAGCGGCTTGAGCAGCTCGAAGCTGCAGAGCAACTCGTTAGAGACAGACATCACGGCGCCCCAGTTGTCGAATTCGCCGCAGTACTATTTCTGGCATTAGCATGTAGTCAAAGCTGATCTGAAGCCGGCAAACTTACGTTGGGAGCACTGAAAACTGTAACAAGGACCCTATCATTGAAGAATTCGTACCCGTCCTCAACCACCATATGAGCTCTGCAAATCAAGTCGAAATCGTGCGTTGCAAGGAAGTCAAGAATGACCTTTTTGCCGAAGCAGTAGCTGACACCTCGTTCGTTGGCCTCCCAGTCCTGCTCCATATCGGCCGGGTCGGACCACAAGAGATCGTTCAAGAGTCCGTAGTCGGGTACATCGGTGGGTCGAGCGATGTTGCGAATATCGTCCATGTGGCTCAGAGCAGGGGAAAGACCGCCGTGCACGCAGAAAATCTTGCCCGCAACAATGGCGGCGATTGGCAGCGTGTTGAAGCAGTCGATGAAGGTCTTCCAGATCTTGACGTTGCATCGACGCTTGCACTCATCGTAGAACCCGTAGACTCTGGTGACGTTGGCGCACTCGTGGTTGCCTCGAAGGAGAAAGAAGTTCTCAGGGAACTTCAGCTTGTAGCACAGAAGGAGGAGAATCGTCTCGAGGGATTGCTTGCCGCGGTCGACATAGTCGCCTAGGAAAAGGTAGTTGGACGAAGGAGGGAAGCCGCACATTTCGAACATGCGAATCAGATCCGTGTACTGGCCGTGAACATCGCCGACAATCTTGACCGGCGCGTCGAGTTCCAAAAGGGCAGGCTGGGAGAGGAAAACCTCGCGGGCGCGCTGGCAGATGGCAACGATCTCGGCGTTCTTGAGGCACACGCTCTTGGTAACCTTGCCGGCGTAACCTGCGTCGAGAAGTCGCTTGATAAAGTCGTCGAGATCAATGTCCTTGATGTCGCTCATGGCCACGCCGCCCTCGTGCCTATCGCCAGAGTTTGTCGACGAGGTTTTGGCAACAGGGGTGGCGGCACCGTCACCGCCCTTAGCCAAGATGGACTTGCCGGGCTGCTGCATGTGTGTGTTGAGGCTGCCTCCGGCACAAGGCGGTTGGTCAGATACATGGTCGACCTCGCCGGATGCCTGAGCAGCGCTCACGTCGTGATGCCCGCTCTTGATAGTGCTAGACTGGGTTGGAGACGGGGGCGGCTGGGAGTCGTCAAGCGGGGATTCGATGTCGCCTGATGGCGACGTGGGAGAAGTGGCGGAGTCATTGCGGCCTCGGGACTTACCCGAAGAAGCGTCGGCCTTTTCGTCAGCGGGAGAAGCAATCACAGAGTTCCTCGGGCTGTCAGTCTTGTTGCTGGAACCGGGGATTTTGGATCGCAAGGCCTTGAAGGAGCGGGATGAATCCTTGGTATCGGATCTGCCGAACGAAGGGTATGACTTGAGATCCTCGGCAGTGCGCTCACCGCCGGCACCCTTGCCAGAAGCATGGCCGCCTTCCTTGGATGGCTGGTTTCCCATGATGTAGCTGTGTTGGCCGCGATGGAGGGAACGGCGGTCGAAGCTGTTGTCGATCGGGTGCGAGCGTGGGCTGGCCTCGTCTTCGTCTGATGTATGGCTAGCCTGCTCGTCTCGCCGCTACACCCGTGGTCTGGCAGGGGGCTCGGAATGGAATGAAAGGCGATGCTGCGTTGCAATGACAGTCTTAGGGAGGATGGAATAAACGACCGAGGATGGACAGGAAGCGGATGCGGGAGGGAGAGCGGCGTCCACTTGAATTGTCCGTTTTGGGCGCGTTAAGGCGACGGCCTTTGATCGATTGCTGAGGATGTGTCGGTTGGTCTGTAAGCGAAGAAGCGGGCGGGTGACGTCGACGCGGCTCGCGGCGGGCGGGAGTTTTCCGGGGATAAGCGAGAGGAGATGGGTACGAAACGGCGGCGAGGATGTAATGAAGCTATTGAGGTATTCGTCAAGGACTGTGGTGCAAAGAATTCAAGAGTCAGCCTCGTTCGGATCGCATGGACGGGAGATAAGGCGAAAGGGCCGAGTTGCCGTTGGTGAGGAGGGATGAATGCAGCGGGCGGCGGGTGCTTAGGCGAAAGGCACGGGATAAGCCAGTGGAGTTTAGGTTCGGATTCGTACCTCGATGGAAAGGAGACTATCTCGTAAGTCGATACCTTTGCGGGTCAGGTAGGATGCAGGTTGCGGATGCAGACGCAAGTTCAATGGAATGCGGGGGGACGACGAATGGAGAGGAGGTGACGTGAGGCAGGCAAGCGAGCAGAGTAAAGCAGAGCAGAGCAGAGGGCTGCGGAGAATATTGACCGGCGGAGAGCGAGTTGGTGGTCGGTGGTTGGCAGTCGTGCGGCGGTGTATGTGCTGCGAAAAGGCAATTCAGACGGGGGAAAGTAGAGTTGGTCGAGGCGCTGAGGATTGGATATGGGGTTTGGGATAAAGGTCGACCCGACGTGTGTGTGTGGTGCGTAGGTCCCGGTGCAGTACTGTAGGTCCAGAGCGTGGGTGAGGTGTAAGGTAGGTAGGTATCCGTACGCAAAGTAGGTAGGTGCGTGGCGGAAGATGGTGGTGAGAAAGTTAAGTTGGCCGATCAGATTCTGCAAAGAGGAAGTGCAGTCAATCCCCCGACCCAAATTCAACCCAATGGAATTCATTCAACCCACCTCAGGCAGGCGAGAGCGGTCGGCCGGTGTAGTGTCCCAAGGTGGTGGTTGGCGGCGGCTGCACTGGCTCTCTCTGGCCTGGGCTACGGATACACGCTACCTGTCTACCTACATGCCTACGTATGTACAGACCTACCTTACACGCTCCAGTGTCACTGGCCTGCCTTGGCTTCCCGTCGCCAAGGATCCAAAGATGGAGTTGGAGCACCTGGGTCTTGGGTCGTGGTCCCAAGGTCTCAAGGTCTCAAGGAGGAGCCGTGCTGCGACTGTCTCGCTATTTTCCTGTCGCTGTTTTCCCTGTTGACGCCGCCTGAAACCCGTCCTGGTCCACTGTCCTGGGCTGACCTGACCAGGCTTGTTGTTTTCGGTGCGCGCTTGGGAGTTGGCTTGTCTTGTCTTGTCTTGTGTCTGGTGTGCTATGTAATTATCGTCTGCCCTGGTCGTCTTGGGCTCTTGCTTCCTCGTCGTTGAGCCGGCGACACTGTCTTGGCTGGCTGCTCGGCCTTGCCTTGCCTTGTATTGCTTGGGCTGCAACTCGACGGCCTTGCTTGCCGGGGGGCCAGTGGGGCTCTTCCTTACCGACGACAAGGGAGGAGGTGGGATGTAAAGTGGTCGAGTCGAGATGCTATTACAGCTCTGGTGCTTATTTGGAAGACATGGAAGCCTAACGGCTGGCTGTCGTCCGTCGGTTTTATGCGTTGACAACCAGTCCAGAGATCGTGGGTAATGTAGATAAAGTCCAGAGGTGCTTGGAAGATGCTTCGGGCGCTTGACCCCTGTGTCGACGTTGGACGAGGTGGATGTGGAATGTCGAATGTGGATGCGGTGGATGTGAACGCCAGAGCAAACAAGGTTGCGACGGAGACAAAAGATGGGCGTAAGCGGAACACCGGACCAACGTAGCAGCTGTAGATCAGGGACTTGCGAATAAACACATGGCGTGTAAGAAGGAGCTCCAAGTCGTTTTCCTCCCTTTTCTCTCTCGCGTGCCCAATCCACAGCTTCTGCGTACAGTTATGTGGGAAAGGGGCACACTGAACAGCCATTCTTTACGCTGCCGCCGCAACAGCAGCATAATGTGTCGTCCTGCAGCCGTTCGTTGTAGGTGGTTGTCGGCCAAGCTGGCTCCTGTCACGTTCAATCCTCGTGCTCACCTGGTCCAGGCCTTTGAAGCACCCTTGGGCCAATGTTGCCCTGCGCCCAATGGGAAATAAGGGAAACCAGATGGGAACGGGCGGATGCAGTGCAACTCGACCAGGTGCACCGCGAAGCTATGCAAGCGGATTGGACCATTCCATGCCCACTCCGACATGCAGCGCAATGGTGATTGATGCAGTTCGTGCTGCTTTGGGAGTCACCACGAACACATAACAGGACTAGCCAGGTGCCAATTAGGACGTCAACTCGGTCGGGAAGAGCGTGGGCTCTACAGACAGACTCCGCCGTAGTGAAGGTGAGGTGCCTCAACGTAGGGTCTGGGCCTGGACATGGCCTGTCGCATGGTTTTGCAACTGAGCCGATTTGCTGCCCGCAGAGACACAAGACGTGTTGGAAGTATTCTTCTCTGTTTTATTGCTGTCACAATACATAATTACACGCGTTCTTGCGCATGCCACCAATCCCCTCATTCTCCTCCACCACCCACTGGGTCAAATATGGATTCGAGAAAACCCCCAGTGACGACACTTGGCGTCGAGTAGTTCTCGTCACCGGTTTTTAGCGCCGCCTGTCCGCTCCTGGAAAACCGCCGGCCTCCAACTTGTAAGCTCACACAGGTTCGACACTGTCGACTCGTGGCCACCGATGGCATTGCACGCGGGGTTCGCTGGGTCTTCCCGGTTGTGAAGGTGTCTTTGAGTTAGAGGTATGTGTGTGGGTGTGTGGCAGCTGGGCGGAGAGGGGAGGGGAGGGGAGGAACAAGACGAGACGGCGAGGAGGAGACGGAAGGATGGAGAGGAGGGGAAAACCTACCGCCTCTCCGTCAGTGCAGATGCAGGCGAGGAACGGCTGGCAACATCCAGTGCTTCCCCTTATCCCGCATCCCGCTACAATCCTGCGATGGCCTAGTGTTCAGCCCGGGGTTTGATAATCATGTTTAAACCTCTGCTGACATGAGATGCTCCGAGAGATCCGCCAGATCAAACACACCGAAAGCTCATACACGCTTGTGTAGGGATGTCTAGTATGCAGCTTATGAAGGGCCGCCTACTACCACTTAAGTCAGTACTCAAATCGCCAGTTGCCTCTCTCACTCGGTGTTTTCGATCTCTCGTCTCCAGCTCCAGCTGGGTCCGGTACAGCGGTACGAGGTGCACTGGCCGCCCCACACGCCACGGCCACGAACATGGCCGCCACACAGCACTGAGTTGCTATGTGAATCTGGTGAGCATGTGTGAGCGGGATGAATCTCAGTGGAACGAATATTCGGAATCGGCATCGGATGTCGAGGTCTCCAGTCTCCAGTTCCACATAGACGCGTCAACTCTCGTCCGACTTCTCTGAAGGAGATCCTCGCCAACCCCCGTTTAACCAGAGACGACGCCAGACGACGATAAGACCGGTCGCGACAACCCCGCAACGCCGCCTGTTTTCAACAGTCGTGGCGCCTGTGACAAACTTCCTGTTCGCCTATGCAGACCCAGACACCGACCGCTCTTGCGGCGTGCGCATTCCCAACGTTCTTACATTCCTCGTGTGCAGTGCGTTGTCCCCGCGTCCACACGAGCACGTGCTGTAACTGGCTGCCGTGCAACCATCGAGGGCCTCAATCTCCAAAAGGTGGGGGTTTGTACTTCCTATAATGCACACGTTGCTCAAATCAGTCAACGGGAGTGGCCGGCGGCGCACCATGTATCGGCGATGATGGATTGCAACTGCAGCTGTCGGGGGCCACAAGTGCGTATTGAGATGCAGTCCGGCGCACACATACAGCCTAAGCCAGGACGAGTTGCCCTCTTACTCGGTCTCAAGGGGGATCACCTCCTGGCTAAGACCGACAAACGCCGCCTTTCGGGTTCGGCCCCATCACGCTCAGAAGTCGGTGTTCCGAGGACCACGCCACTAGTCGGCGCGCGAGAGCGACGATGAGACTTTGCGGATGGGCACACATTTTGCAATGCGATTGCCGTCTACCGCGCGTCCACCCGGCTTCGCCGCATCGGGGGCATTGATCTTAGCCCCGCCGGCGACTCGGCTCAGCCTGTCTCTTCTAAGTGCTTGAGCAGTGGGATGAGGGCCGGCACAGAATGGCAGCGCTATATTCGGGGCGGCCTATTACAGGCCTCCCTTGCCTGTTTGTCGACGAGGGGTCTCCTTCGAATCTCATTTCGCCGTGTCCGCTGAAACGGATTTTGAGTCTCAACCCAGGTTGACTTTTTTCAGTCGAGGCTCTTGCAGTCGCGGCGTGAGGTGAGTGGGACGGGGCCCAGCGAATTGTTTGATGCTTTTGCCCCCAGGAAACATTCATCTCCGTGGCAGGTGGGCTGTCGCTTTCGCTGGGTAGAAACCAGAGTTGCAGCCAAGCTTGACGCCTCACTCAGTCGCCTGAGAACTGCCAAATGTGGAAGGAAGCAAAACACCCATGAGATGAATAAAAACGAGGGGTTCGTAGGCTATAGAACGCAAATAGCGCGGCTGCCGAAATAGCCTCGCCAAGATATTCGAAAAGGCTCACAGGGCCCGCTGACGGAAACTTTTTCTTCGTGTTTTCTCGAAGACGTCTGGGCAGGCTCCGTTGCGACGAACCAGAGGGCATCTCGAAGCTACGAGAGCCTGGTCCATCTCTCCACACATCCACGAGCCAAAAGTGAGGTTGGCCAGTCAGCTCCACGATGCCGATTGTGA